CACTAACATTTCCCGAACTCTTGCCCTCAAGCCGTATATACCGCAGCAGATAGACGACATCTCTATCACCGTAATATCGCTCACCAGACCGACAAACCCCATTTTGCACAGACAATTCGCGATAGCCAGTAGTGAAATTCTGGTTGTTCCGGAAGGGTACAAGTTTCCGGTGGAGTGCCTCACAAGAGCACAAACTGCAACTACCTTCCACTTGTGCAAGAACCGAATGATATGCGACTGTAACGTAATGAGCACGCCAACTCGATGTGACTGTCCAGCTGACTCTATAGCGCATATGAGAAAAGACGTATCCAACATACTTCCAATCTCGACTCCTTTCATTAGAATGCAGAGAGGCATAAACAATTCCATCGTCGCGCACTCCGCAAGGGAAGAAATGACAATTACCATCGAGTCCAAGTTCATCAAAGAGGGTGCCGCATACGTAACGTTCCAAGCATGTGAAGTTTTCCTTGGACCACTCACAGGGTGTTATAGCTGTCTGGAAGGCGCCGTGGCGCATGCCTCTTGCTTCACAAAAACTCCGACATGGGTAATCGTTCTTTGCGACGATCACTCCTTCTCCATCGAATGCGACCCATGCAACAAAACAACACAAGTCAAACTTGACTTTCATCATGCAATCATTGAACAGGATTGCCGCGCTGAGTGCCACAACAATCATACCAGACTAAAACTCCATGGTATCCTAGCTTACATGCCTCACCTCAATGAAACTGAAATCTTAGCCTCACATGAAAGGGCGTCGTGGATCGCGCCTTCAAGTTGGTTCCGCGATATCAGCGTCCCTGACTTGCGACCGCTTGCAGCTATTGTATCAAGTCACTGGAAATCTGCTCTTGCCATATTCGGCACAACCGTACTTCTCGGCGTAGCGACATATTTTTTCGGACCAATTGTTATCCTCTTTGCAATACGACTCCTGTTTATAAGCTTCGAACTCTCGGTCAAGTTGGTATCAGCAACCCTCCTCGCAGCTTGCGAAGTCGTTAAAAACGTATGTAAAAAGTAGAACGTTTAAAAACTCAGCTAGCCATTTAGTGAAATGAAAGTATAGTTATAGCTCTCACGTTGTACGCTCAATCTGGCCCCTAGATTCGCTGTTCACTAGCCTTTGTTTATAGCTGATGTAGCTTTGTGGTCGGCACTTTAATGAGTCATCTTCCTCGGTCATGGACGAAGTACACTTGCTCGGCATACTGAAGCTAGCCACCTGGCATGGCTTTTTGGGTACACAAAGAAATAAAGGAGGCCACAGTCGCAACTTTACGGCGGACGGCATTGACTGCAACATCCAGCTAATCGAGCCCGGCCGTCGTCCGACAGTGGAATCTCTTACCCAAATCGTCAACCGTCTCGCTATGAGTATAGAAGAGATCCGTGCCAAGGTATCACATATTCACGACGATATTCACATGCTGAAGAGCGCTTCGCTCCAACGTCACCCTGTGCATTCTGCCCTCTAGATGAGAACATGGGCAGGCACCAATCCGCCGACTGCTACAATTACCCTGAACCGTTCATTCGTAACGTACGAGCCGTCGATCTGCACCTATGCGGAAGATGCTTGCGTCCTGTCCACGGGTGAAGTTGCCATGTCAAGTGCGCTCCTTGCCGTGGCGAACACAACGTCCTCCTATGCGGCCAGAGCGAACCATAAAAGCAACGACGTTTGTAATCATCTATGGCTGCTACTCTATTCTACTCCTTATTCTACCCACTACACTCGCCCGTCATCATCACTTCCCCCGGCTGATATTCGCCTGCTGACATTCGACCTTCGCGCCTCGATCGACATATTCATTTCTGCCGCAGTGCCGCTCTCGTCGACCTTTAATCTGAGCGGCACCAATCCCTACTGCACGTCATCTTACTCACTTCCCCTGCGGAATGGTATGGCTAGCAGTGCTGGTGGAGTTGCGGTTATTGATGGTTTCAATGGCACCTTCGATCGAGCCCTATGCAGTGCGCCGAAGTCGACTGGAAGATATGTTTGATATATCATGCTTTCTCTTGTTTGGTTGTATGATTAATTCTGTAGTTAGTTAGTTCATGCCTTTCCCGCGGGCGGAGTGTCGTGGTCAACCACGACTTCTCTATTCCCCCTCTCTTATTGTCCGATTATTGTATCACATCATACCCTCATTCGTTAACATTCCTCTAGTTCTTATCCTGTCACATGTACCGTTCTTAGTTGACCACCTGTGAACACATCTGTAACATCTATAATGTCTATCTACGTATATAAGTGCTCGGAAATATTGTAGAATGCTCTTCGCTCAATAAACGGCTGCCACTGAACGATCGACACAACCACTTTATTGGTAGGTCTTTGCACAGAGCGATTCTCGTTGCAGGAATCGACGGAGGACTTGGATCGTCGTTGCACAAAATAGGTATAAGGAGCGTCAGCGTCATCAAAGAAAACTTGACTGTTACTTTCCGTGATTAGTGCTTTCATACTACTGAGAACGATTGGGAAGTGATAGGCCAAAAACTGTCATGATAAAGGGCGGTGCGATGTTGTCCTGTGGAGATGACGGGAGCAAAGAAATATCACTTTGCTATTACTATTCTCCGTCGTCCTGCTACGACTCAGATGTGGTAATGCTAAATGGCGCCTATCACATGCATTGTCAGGAGATCGAATTGGTAGCGATACTCGAGTTGGCAATTCAATCTTGATATTTCATTCCTTATAGACTCGTATTGTAGGAAAAAAGCATTGATATGTTTCAGGTGGAGCTCTCCATTGTGCAGGCTAACACGCATTAAATCGTGCTACGCCTCATGATCGAAGTAGAATGGGTGTGGGTTTCATAAAGAAACTATCCACCTCGGAACCTTGATCCTTATCCCTTCAGTATTGCAGACCACTGTGAAAGCGTATCACGAAACTTCACTTCATATGTCACTTTCACTCTCACGTTATAACTGTGATCGTTGTATTATGCACTTTCTGACCATCGATGAGCAAGTTCATGAGTGTCGAAGATTTGATGATGTTTTTACATATTGGTTCCTACTTGTGTTACGTTCTCGAGATCGATTGTTGAAGGTTCACGTTGTAGAACAAGACCGATTACCCTCCGAGAGCCATTCTCTTCCGGTAATGAAGAAATTGTCGTTTACAAGTGAAAAAGTCTGCAGACAACGTGTTCCCCTTCCAGAAGGTGTTCATGTGAGGCCGATTTTATATACACTACTGATGACATGTAGTTTATCTTTTGCTGGAGTGAACGAAAATGATCAAATTTTTTAAGCTTATATCGGCAGCCCCTGTCGCTGGACACTTGTCATCATCATTTTTGTATCCTGCTTGCCAAACTCCTTATTTGGTGCTCACGGCTTGCGACGGTCCGTTTTTTAACGATTTTCCAATGCGGTAGTGAGAATTTCATTGCCATAACATAATCGATTAACTGAGACATCGACATTTACTGAATTTCGTTCTTAATCGTCTTTTAGATGACAAAGTACGTTTTTGGAGATGTACTGAATTGAAACAGGGCTCTGAGTATAAATATGAATGGGTGGAATGGAATATGATTAGCGTTAGCGGTTCGAGTGACCTGAAAATGGAAGGTAGGTTTCGTGTGGAGCAATTGGTGGTAGCTGATCTGCTATTTACAGGAACATTGCTCTCTATCTCTGCGGCTCACTGTGGACGAATCGCCTGCGCATATGATGCTAAGAGAGTGTACCGCGGGAACCAAAATGTTTCTTGTGTAATTTTCGATTTTGTAATGTAAACACAAAGCCAACAAGTCTAGCTGCGCTTGGATCGAGCGCTCCTTTATAATATATTGAGGACCCCGCTCAATGTTAGCTTTAGTTTGTCTGTAACTTATTGTTCAGGTGGAATTAGGAGTTTTCGAATGTGAGTCTTCTGGTGGTGTCGAATGGTTGCGTGAGGCTACCTTAGCTTTTAAGTATGTTCAGCCTCCAAATACTTCAACGTCAGTTGATGCTGAAGTTCAGCAAATATTACTATTTCTCCGTTTTGATTGTGAAATATTCTGTGAAGGGATTTCATTCTTCAGAAATTCGGGATGACAGCTGTTCAGATCCTCTTTTTCTAGGTCTCTGAGAGTCGATGAAAACTGGTCATTGCCTCAGATATCAGGAACTCGGTCTTCTGCTTCGCGCTCAGAATTTCAAGGTGAGCGTCTCCAACATTTATTGTGTGTTCTAGAAGATTTTGCTCGACGAACTTGAATTCGTCTCTATTTTGCAAGTTCTTTATGCAACCTTTTCAATGAGTGCTTATATCATATCACACAAAGTTATGGACTTTGTGTGATATGTGGTGGATTGGGGGTCGTAGAAGTTCACATTGACGCAATCTTTTTTTGCTCAGAGATAGGTTCAATAACTCCATTCAGAAGCATGTACGTCTTCGATATATGGTCAGTATTACTATTTTCCACAAGGACAATATTGGTTTAGGAGATTTCATTAAGTAAAAACTCATTGTCGAGAACTCGATATATAGCATCTCGCTGCATCCTACTAGACCTTCATCCGCCACTGGGCGGATAAAGGTCTAGTAGTGATGCAGTGATAGCCTCTCTCTGAAAGTGGACTTGAGACGTCTTCGCGACTGATGAAGCCAGTTTATTTGTGCTTTTTTGAAATGCTCTTCGCCTAAAATCTCCTTTACTGCGAGCCTTATTTTTATGAATGATGTATAGCCGTCTGATGAATAGGCTACATGATGCGATCTCATGTGACGGAAAGGTGGGTAAATCGTGGATAAAAAGTCGGCTTAATAGAGCCATAAACCCCTTTTCTGAGTACGTGTTTATGTTTTTGTTAGGGGTGTCCACCATTACGTGTGTAGTGAATTTGCGAATTCTGCTGGTCCCCTGGTAATCGTTTAAAACTCACATTCGAGTGGTGAAGAAGTAATAAAAAGGGCTGAAAACTGAAATCGTGAGCTGAATTCGTCTTTTGAAGGTAAATCGATTATTTGCTCCTAAAGGAGCAGCCATGCGAACATGCACGTTTTTGAAAGGCGTTCAGTAGGATTGATCATACTCAAGGTTTACGAGGTTCGTCTAGGGCGTCGCGAAAATACAAGGTGCGCCTATTTAGACCCAGCGAAACCAAAGTGTTCGTTCTGATATTTCTGTGCCATCGGTAAGAGGGATTTCCAACAGTATGATAATGTTTCATTCGAACTTTCAATGCCACACTAGGAAACGTCATCCGTCCCACGCTGGCTGAATTCGACGGCATTTGTGGCAAGACCTATTGCCGTTTGATGTGAAGGAGAAGATATTGATGAAAAGCAATTGGCTTCTGACTTCCTTTGACGTTCAGCCAGGATGAGCACACCAATCGGTGCCCTGCCGCAAACGTCAAGGTATCGAAGACCAAAGTGTAGGACGCGTCGTGCGAGGTTGTGATCATTTTTGGACCAAGACGGTTTATGGATGGGACGTCAGACGAACGGCCTTCTCGCGATGGTCAGATTTCTTCAGAAATTTTTCAGACGGAATGAATGACTCACATCCTGGTCTTGGAGCGAAGCAAGTACACCGGACCCGTCTGGCTTCAGGACGAGATAGGCTCGTACTGCCCATATGAGCAAATCGATGGTCAACAGGCGGTTTCGTAAGGGTCCTCATTGGCCTCAATCAAGTACGACTTTGATTTTAATGATGGAGCAAACAGGCTAGAATTAGAAGCTTCCGTCATAGAAAGCTTGGAATGAAGAATCACGAACTAGATTGATGAAAACCCTTTTCCTCGGCTTCGTTGTGGTTTGTCTTCATGCCTGTTGTAATCCTGAATGCAATTGTGAGTATTTAAGTACTATACAAGCGTGAACCAGCCAACCTACTCACACAAAAATAAAAGTAATCATTTTATCGGCAATTTTTTTGACCGTACAAGAGAACCTGTTACAATTCTAGGGTCACTGTTTGCGACCAATACTAGAGAGAATGGGACTAGCATTTTGCATCTTCAAAAGCACAGCGCACGATGGAATTATTTTCTGAGACTTGCTGGCAGCATGGATCTGTGACTCCTAAGGATAGCACTTGGGACACTGTCGTGCCAAAGAACCACCTGAACAGGAAGTAAGAAGGGCACTTGGACGGTCACATTCTTGCAGTCGTACCACTCCTTTTTTTCTACAAGAGAACACTTCTTTTGGGCTGTGGTACCTTCTGGAGAAAAGTAAATTTATCTTCCCAATCACAGCCGCGGAATGAATCTTCATGACAGAGCCTCCCTTTCAAACCGTTTGCTACAAGCTTTCACCCTACAGCTGAGTCATAGACTTGCGAGGAATGCGAGTTCGACGGCTAGGGCTAAGGTCGACTTAATAACGGCGACGTCTCTGTCCTGACGCTAGTTCTTTGTATGCGCGCAGCGGCATTTCATGCTCGCTGCTCGTCCTATTACCTCTTTCTTGCCATTTTGTCGTCACAGTCTCTTAGCATTAGTCCCATTTTCAGTGATTTTTACGCCCTTAAATCCCTGCTTCACCTTATTTAACTTGAAATGAGTACCATGGAATTATCGTGAAAGGTGCATTCAACATGAGATCACGCTAGCACGAAATGTAAATCAACCATTAACATCACGCAAAGCATGAGCATCAGGCGCGATCTTGTGGGGCAGGCCGAGACGAGAAAGCCCAGCGTCTCTTGCATGCCGTTTGAAAGACTGAAGAGAAACTGAACACAGTTGGCGAGTACCATCATTTCATAAGAACCTCTGACATCCCAAACCAAGCACTTACGCTTGAATAAATATGACTCGTCCTATGCTCCGTCCCTTCTCGCGTGCGAACCAACAGCAAGCCTCAGTAAGGATGAGTTGTACGCATCTACGTAAGAGTGTGGTTCTTCCGAAGAGAGAATTGTCGGCAATGTGAATGCCAAAATTAACTCTAAAAAAATTTAGTCTGAAATAGAATTGCTCGTGATGGGATCGAATGAGTGAACACATTAAATGAACCTTTTGCATGACCTTTGTTGCCATTATTACAAACTTCGTACCGGTGCTTCGTCCGAAATCCTTTGTTCTTGATGCACGATTTGGGCCATAATGTCAAGAAACTCGAACACTATAATCATTTGAGATTATTTTACAGTTCATGAGACTCGTTCGTCAAAAACTTCGACGAGAAGTCGTACAGGCGAAGTGACGACATCAATATAGGCTATGAAAAAAAAACAGACATTAAAAAACATCGCTGAACATCCAAGATGATCGACATGAATTGATTGAGCCCCAATTCCTTCGAATCACCTCAAAAATACGATTGTCGAAGCTGATGTAAAGATTATCAATGGGTTTCTAGTCAACTTGGAACACGAACCGTCGACGTTGCCTTCTTCATCCCACTGATACACCCAACTGCTTGCTTCCTTCATAAATCTTCCTTATGATGAATCCCTATAGGTTTTCGTTGAATCCTAGTCAGGGCTGCTAGCCGGTCGGGACAAAAGGCTGAATGGTGCCGTCTAAACCAGGCCTTGGTGCTCCAGCTGACGCAAACCGGCAGAGTTGAGTTTCTTCGAAACAAACCATAAATGAAGACGTAACGGGAAGAAGTTGCCGTTTATATAATGACTCCTCCTCCCCTGAAATTTCATTTGGAAATCTGAAGCTCATTCTTTCTCAGATCGTGCCACTAGTACCGGTTTACATCTGGGCATTACAACGAAACTTTAATCATCCAAAAAAAAACAAACTGCAGAACGAAACATCAAGAGAAAAATGAGTAAACGACAAGCCATTAACCCACTGACGACCGCGTGGCCCGCCGGCGGGCCACACCATATCGTGCTCCTGTAGTATTTACGTTACTTATCACGTGTTCTTACAATTTTTTCATGTCCTCAAGTATCAGCTGAGCTCACAGCCTTCTAGGGAAACTTGAGGTACTGTGGTCAAGGAATCGTTCATTTCCAACCACAATTACAAGAGAAATTAAAAGTTAATGTAAGAGCAGTATAAAAGGCGCGGTCGCCAATGGGTTAAAAGACAACAGCTCCAATCGGTTCGGATGCAATTCCTGGCAAAAGCGACCCCGATGCTCATCTTATCGCTTACCGCGATGCTTTTCGGTCATAAAAAGAGCATCGCGTTGCAAACAATAATTCTCGGGACATAGAGCTTTGAAGAGGACATGATATTCGTACATGACTTCGTCGTATTCGACGCTTCTCCCAAAATCTACCGTTTATGCACCTCAGAAAGTAACGAAAAACGGCCCGTGCTTCTTCTGGTCCCATAATCTGTATGACTTCTGACGAAACTATCGACAAATGAGTGGCATCGGCCCGAATCTCGAGCGATTTTGCGATTTGGCAGTCCCTGTTCCTTTTGCGCAGGAATTTGACTTTTCTCGAAATCGGATAGCATCTTTCCTTTACCCATTGCCTGTTATTCAAAATCTTGACACAAGTTGAGCGAATGTGTGAGGTGAAAATGGAGAACGACTGGGAAAATCGAGGTGGCTGCACAATTTTGCAACATAACCAAAGTAGCTTTTTCCGAAAAATGAAGGGGAAACTGTCTATGTTATTTAAGTGGAACTCATTGTTGGTCTACAGGTTACGGTCCGAGTAAGGCACAGTTTCCATATAAGCCTTTTCCTGTAGTGCCCTGGAACGTGAGTTTTGCTAAAATTCATGGGTGGCTGTATCATTAAGCAGCGCAGTAGATGTCGAACTCAGCGGGCTCGAGAGCTACTGCCGATTATGTAAAGGAACCTTATGAGCTATACTTCTAATGAAGAATTACGGAGACCTTACTTCCGAAAGTATTGTGGGAGTTCGGACAAGATGATTTCAATAATTGAATTTCCCCTGAATTACACTTTAGCACATCACTTCCCTTCAACTAAGCTGTTGTCCAGGCAAATTTCGACCCCCCCCGTACCTTTCTGAGCGAGACCATTTTGCTGTTTTAATTTCCATTCTCGTGCACAGCATTTAAAACTCTTCGATTGATCTGGGTTTCTATTCAAAGCACCGCGGTAAGTAGACTACCCTTCCTTGGTTAGTGATCCTTTGCCTAAACGATGAAATTTCAGCCATCCAATCACTTGCAGCAACAGACTTTTCCCTCATTTTTCTGCTGGAATGTAGAGCTTTGTAGAGCTTCATAGAAACCCGCACCTTTGGAATTCGGCCCTGGGTGGCTGCTATAACGTGGTTGGAAAAAGTGAACGGCTGGCTTGCTTCTGCACTGTCTCATCGTCGTGCTTCTATTCATGGTTTGGTTAGCCATTCCCGAGCCCGTGATGCGCAGCACTATCTAAACAACTTCTGATGGCCCTACCGACAGACTTTATTCGCTAGGTATCTGACCTTCGAATAGTTTCAAATACTAGCTTACTACTTGATCGTTTTGACTTGCCGACCGTCCTTAACCCGAAACCAGAAAAAAAACCGCACTTTTTCATTGTGAAGGTTTCATCCGCATTGAGAGATAGGTGGTGATTTGGTGTCCTTTTAAAGGAAACTTTCACAAGATCCACGATTAATCGGATTTTGCACAGACGAATTTCAATCCGTTTTTATCGCCCATCATGCAAATTCAGGTCACCAAGACTACAGATAATTTTGGAACATTGCTTTTGATACTGCATGGTCGCAGCGAGCGGAGGAGGTGTAGTGAAAAGTGGCGCACGTATGGTCACGGGTTCGAATTCCGGATCGGTTTCCGGCTACACCAACCAAGTCTTCCATCCCTCCGGAGTTGGTTAATTGGTACCAGACCCATCCGGGAGGATAAAAGCACCAACGTGAACATTGGTTGGACACTGCAAGACTTTGCGTAGGCCTCATACACATTCAATACTCCACTACGACTTTGAATAGAAGTCGAATGCGTGGGCGCATTCCTCATATGGAATTGATTAACGCTTCGAGATTTTAGACTTTAGACTTTATGGTCGCAGCAAATTGAAACTGTGAACCTGTGGTCAGGCGATGCTGCACCGAGTCACTTCTGTCGGCAGATAATACGCACGATATTGCATGAATTGAGATTTTCGTTTTTTGAAAAATTCAAACACTATCGTGAATTGAGTATTTATGGAATCCGTACGTCGAACGAAGTGAGATACAGAAGTGCACTTTCTGAAAAAAAAACTTCTTTTTATTTTGTCTTACAAGATTGCTGCTGCCAAAATTGTAACCACATTCGAAAAATGGAATGTATGCTTTTCTTATTAGTTCAAACACATTCTGTGAAATTATGGTGTTCAGGAAAACGCTCTGCTTCTGTCGTTTAAGGCAAAGTTTACCATAATTTGAAATGCACTTTCAAGTTGTAAGTTGAAGTTATCGGTGGCGAAGAAAGCGAAGAATTGCGCGGAATTCACGAAATATAAGGCGTCTTGGTAGTACTACAGATAGGGATTTTTACGTACTTCCCATGGCAGATGAGGCACTTGGACGTGATTTCAGTCCCCATAATTGCGTGAAGAACTCGCTGAAGGAAGCCAGAACTGGTCTCCCATTGTCGCCATGGCTTACGATTAGTTTGAATTTTCGAGTGAATGATCCAGTGTAAATGGTGCAGCCGCTATGCCGTGCAAATGCGTTCGCCTTGTGGTGTGGACGTCGCTGAAGCCGGTCTTTTGGTCCCTCTTTTAGGTCGTTCGGGGGTTACTTCGACCTCTGAGAGCGAGTTGTCCAAGGTTTCTCAAGGTATTCCAAGGTATTTTCAAAGTATCGAAGAGTAACTGAACAAATCTCATTTCCTTTTGTAATTTTATAGTCAGTTTGAACATGGAATGTCAGATGCAGCATTTCGACGCAATTCACTTTTTTATTTCTATCTTGACTAAAAAAACTGCTGATGTTCTCCTTGTTGTGGGTATCTGACCAGTAGACGCAGTTTTTTGACGGCTTTACCGAAGCCGATTTTCATGTAACCCATGTGAGAACTTTCTAGCAAGCCCAACGCATCCAGGGGAATAGTTGAGTAGAATATAGAAAAACTTTGACTATCTTAAAAGCTAGATGTTCGGGTGCCACATGAGTTGGGGGAGTTACACTTGACGCCGTGAGTTGTATCTACGACTTGCGCTTCAAACACAATGGAGACTTAACTTTTACGAAGCGAATAGTAGCAGCTGATACGAATGGGAATGTTCTCGATGATTTTACCCATAAACGATCATGACGGATATGAGATGATCCTGCTCAAACGAGATCCAAAGCTGACTTCATCAAAAGAATGTCACGACACCAATTTGGTGGGATTGCAAAGGTGAGATGTAGTTTGAAGAGCTTTCAAGGAATCTGAATGTCAACTTGGACGTCTAGTCATTAGATTCCAGGGAGTTTTTGAAAGGCCCTCCCGAAATTAGCGATTCGCAGATTTGCATACATTTTTCGAGACTTGGCAAAAATCATCAAAGCATGGTTGGAAAGTGCTACTACATCTACCATACTAACAGCGAAATTGTGAATTTTGCTGTGAATTTACCAAAAACAAAAGGTAACAGAACAAAATTTGATATATATCGTCGATTAAAATCCGATCGAGAGAAAAAACTGTGAAACGCTCAGAAATTGAAATCACTTCCCGAACGACCCAATGGATTATTTTTTCGCTGCCATATGGAGGCCACTGGTTCATTCTGATTAGACATTTTATCTGACCATTCATATCGTAAGCGGTGCCTTTAAAGGCTACTGCAAGGAAATCCGAGCAAGATTCCGTGTTGTATCGAGAACCCACGTACTACTGCGCGTTAATTAGGAGAGGGGCCACAACATATTAAGTGCTCTCGTCATTGGACCCACTATGCATTCATCTTTGACCTGATCGTTGTGCCTTCAAAGGCACAGACCACGACAAATGGCTTCTGAGATTCTCTATCATGATGAATTTCTGTTCTCCAAGGCGAGCACATGGGCGATTGTCGTTTTAAAAAAAACACAGAAGTAGAGATGAAAAAATTATCTCGAACTTATCGTGAACAATGCTGTTTAAGTAATATTTGTAACAAGACATAACTCTGAGAGTTCAGGTCAGCGCAGACCTTTTAATGACAACCATCATGCTCTCATTTGAGGCTTCTAAAAAGAACCGTCATCCATGATTCAACCTATTTGCAGTGCGCGTCATGGCAATTTTTACGCGTGAGTATATGAATAATTTTCGTTTTGAGCAAATATTCGACATTATGTCCATCTTGATTGGGTCTCTACTGAAGACGGCTCCCACATTCTCACTGCTAGTATTGGAACAAGTATCTACATGTTTACTCAGGTAATTTTTAAATCGAGACGCTTTCTTACTTTCAACCCACGATTTTCAGATTTCACTCGACCCGGCTCAAAGGAACGTGACGCTAATGAAGGAAAGTGACAGTACTCTTAGACGGCCATCCCTACAAAAAACATCTTCTCTTCTCGCATTCTCCGACACACATAGTCGCCTTGTACGTGAGCAAAGGGTGCAACACTTTTAGCTGTAAAGAGTTGGTCCATAGTTAGGGATGAAGCCCTACGGAGTGATTGAAATGAAGTTTATTAAAGCTTACTCAAGGTTCAGTGGGTGTGTTCTCGAGTTCTGGAACTACGTTCTGCTGACGGCTTACCTCCCTTACCAACAGCTCTCGGATGGGTTAGAGAAGGCCTTCTCATTGTTGGAATGCTGAGTGAGATGCGCGTCTACAACCAGTGGAACATGCATCGAATGAGCGACAACGATAATGCAGTGTTTGTGATTTATTCGCTTATATTCATTGATGTTTGTGTTATCAGTTTTTATGAGTATTTTTCTATATTATGCAATTGCATAATTAACGGGAACAGGTGAGCAATATAAGTAATATTCACTCACATAATATACAAACACAAACCGTACGTGTTGACTTGCCTAGTTGTTTTCCGACGGTTTGCATGTCTAGTTGTCTTCAAAAACAGTGGTTATGATGGTCAGGATAGAATTGAGACCAACAGGACTGGACTAGAGCGTCAATCAGTAATGCCGTATCAATATGGCATTTCGATTGTGATTACTCATATTACTATGTAGAATCCACACAGAACCCACGCAACTACCACATAATGTTATGATGTGGTGCTGTATATGTGGTATACTCAGGAAGCACTAGCTGCTAGCTAGTAGCTGAAGTCGTGACAACATTCCGCATATGTCACTCGTCATCATTCTGTGTTAGGAGAAAAATAGGAGGTGTTCTGGCAATTTATTTTCCCTCGTGAAATCTTTTGTCAAAGTTAAGCAGCGAGGAGGAGATGTGGTTCGATCGTGGAGTAGTACCCATCTCAGGTTGTCATGATGACTCCATTAGGAAGAATGCAATTATTGTTTTATCGATTCCTGTATCATCTCATCGTCAACACTAATATGTTTAGAAACGTTCACTTCGACAAGTGTTGAAACCACTAACAGAACTTGTCTGGCCGTAGGTAAACAGAAAAAATCAAAGAATTACTGAGTCGTGAGAGGACTCCCGCTTGTTCGTGCTAGCTGTAGAGCCGCTCTCACCTATGTTAATAGGTGTACTCTGTCTACTGACGTAGGTGTATTCTGTCTACTGACGATGGCTGACTTACTGGCTATGATTCTACTATCATCATCTGTGCTCTCATTAATCGTGTTATCGTTGTGGGGCTAAGTTCAGAGCCGTGTGACCCGACGGACGCTAAAAATGAACTGTTACAACAAGTATCACTTTATCGTTCTTTTTATTTTTTTTTCATTACTGGGCCGCAGAAGGCGGATGCGGTGCAGTGGCGCGTGGGGTTAATTGCGCGTCACTTGCTAGGCGGGGCGTGGCAAAGGACGCGCTGTCCCACACGGATGGTCACGGCAATATATACAGTAGCGCTCGACAGTGTACGGCCAAACGCTTTCACGTTTTTTCGTCCATAACTTTTTCCTTAGTGGAGCAAATCGCGCGAAATTTTGACATGTTTAAATAAAGCATATTTCACACCATTCAACCTTGTTTGACGGCAAAGCAGCGATATGAAAATAACTGGAAGCAGGGTGTTTTTTGCGGTAGCAGACTTCGCTTAAGCAAAGTTAGTGACGTCTGCAGTTATTCACGCCTTATATGCGTTTTTCTTCTCTACTGTGTTCGGCATTAGCGCTTATGAACTTAAAACATGGCAGAAAGGAAAGAAATTCCAGAAGTATTTCTGGTTGATTTTGAGTTCAAGCCCTTTGGGATATCTGGAACACTATCAGTTCGCAGGTTAATAGGGCTAAATATTCACAATACATCCATGCTATACATATTGAAATTTCGCATGTTTAGGTCCAGTACGAAAGAAGTTACGACTGAGAAAAATAACTGAAGAAGCATTTCGTCGAACACTTTTGAGCGCTACTGTACCTTGGCGATGACAGAAGACCTCTATTTCCTCCCTTACGGATGGCCTAACGCTATCGATCGACAAAGAAGCACTCAGATGAATCTGTTCGGTTGTTTCTCCTTTAACGAAAGGTCACTCTCTCAGATAGTATTTGAGCCTTAGCTGAATATGACCAACAACTTTCACCGAGTTAAGCTTTATATACAGAGTGCACCATAAATATGGTAACAAAGGAATTGGGCTACAGAGGCCGCAGTTCTTATTGATACATTTTGAATTTATGTGAGGTATCTACTACCAGGTGGCTACGCACGCTCTCGCGCGCGCTAGGGGCTCTAGCCATGAGAGGCAGAGGCGCATGAGCTGATTTTCATTATAGACCTTTTTCGGATTTATAAGTTTCCGCTCAAAGCTCGCCTCCTGTGGGCGGGGTCTGGTCCTGCCACCCACAATAAGTGTTCCCATCCTGTCGCCTGTACTCCTACCAAGTTTGAACTTTCTAGGTCCATGGTGCCAGGAGTTATGAATTTTCGCACAAACCCTGCCTCTTGCGGACGGAGTCCGGTTTTACCACCCACCATAGGTGCTCCCACCCTGTTCCCATTGCTGCTACCAAATTTGAACGTTCTCGGTATACGGGGACAGGAGTTATGAATTTCCGCACAATCCCCGCCCCTTGAGGGCGGAGTCTGGTTCTACCACCCACCATAGGCGT